CCTCCCTGAAAAATAGTCTTACTTCAAATGTCAGTTTTATGTCACAAAAACTGCTAAAAATAGCAAACGTAAACAAATTACTGTCAAAAGACATTTTAAACCGTATTTAATACCAAAACTGAACAAAAATGAGTTAGATAACTTAGATATACAAACAAAAGCACAATACAAACCATCACAACAGAAATATGTTCCGTGAATATAACTTTTAAAGTTTGAAAAATAACAGTTTATCATGGAATTTAGCTGTCAGTATAAAACACGCGCTAGACTATAACGGTGATGTTATGATTTTGTTTGTGCTTAAATTTTGCAATAATTCTCACTAAAATATCTTGAAAATCATTGTAAGCCTGTTTATATAGAGCATATAAAGCATATACATCAACAAGGAACCGCAAAACTCAAAGTTTGAACTTCGTGACCGAATGACATAAAACTGATATGTCAACTCTACCATTTTCGTCCTTGGTCGCGTAATTTTGAAAACGGGTGTAATTGGGTGTCATGTTTAGGTACGTTTACACTTTACGTAGCGGCGCGAGAAATCACCTTACAGAATGCACATCGTTACAATAATTCCTTTGAAAATAGCGTTCCTAAAAGGTACGGATAGGTGATTTTTACTTATTGTAACTACAAGGCAAATTTATATTTGTGACCATTTGTCCTTGCGACTAAGGGCGGGGGAGGGGGCGAAATCCCTAAAGGGGGGCGATAATCCTATATAGGAAATTCGCCCTCCCGGGTAGGGGGCGAATTTCCTGGGGGTGGGCGAATTTCCTGTGACACCGGTACACTGTAAATGTAGCCTTAATCCCCAGGCATACAAGCTTGCTTTTATTTAAAATGAAGTAATTTTGCTGCAAGGGAATTAAGCTCAGCAAGTTGCCCATCAAACGGTTGTTTGCATGAGAGTTAATTTCTTGTTGACAATCTTCAACGCAAGGCAACGCAATTATTTGTAATGAGCGGCAGGTTTTTTACGGATTGCGTACTTAATGACATGTCGTAAAATGGTAGATTGCCTTGTGAAAAATTTACTTTTTGAAATATGAGGATCATTCAATATCAAAGCCCTCACTCAAGCGTCACAAATGAAGCAAACGTTAATCTCTAATATTTAAACTGAAATAGGAATTAAATGTGCAATATCGTGAATTTCTAATCAAGGTCATTTGAAGTCTTGTTCATATACGAAGACAAGCTTATTGGTAATGAGATCAGACCATGAGATTACTCAGATTAGATCACTTATATTAGGTTCGCCCCACATGATAGCCACGGCGTTTGAGTGATAGCTGGGCGTCATAGTTGAATTAACAAATGTTATTATTGTGTATTGCATGCTTTTTTCAGTATTGTTTATAAAGCAGTTTGAACATTTTGACTTACAAATATTTTGATATGTGCGCAAATTTACCTACTGATTCATGACTAGTTCAGTTATAATACAGAATATAGTCCTATTATAATGCATGTGCGTTCTTCACAACTAGTTGCGCCTATGAAATTTAACTAAACGGCGAAAAACTAGTTGCTAACCAGGCATAAACTAAACGATTTTTCTGCCACTCATATTAAAAAATGGCGCGATTATTTGACTTTTCTTAATCGTTATTTGACATTTTGACACAAGGTATTGGAAAGATGAATTGTTGTTAGATCCAAATGCCGGCGTGTTATACTCTAGCCTTCCTGAATTTTTTTTTAAATCCGTTTAAGTTTGATTGCTTTAATCATGACGTGGTAAAAGCAGTGGCTGTGAAGTTAATCACTAATCTATATTTTACTGCTATTCTTATTGAAATATAATGGCCACTATTTGATCATCAATTTTATAAGATACTTTTTAAATTCTGATTATTTTTTTGGCGGGAAGAAATGTATACCTTGTTGCTATATTTTACCGTCTTGCTTATATAGTCTTTATATATGATCACTATTTTCATGACCAGCAAATCACATGTTTAATTACAATTAAAACAATTCATACACAAGCTCACCTATTTACGTAAATTATGTGCACATGATATAGCTTTTTCACTCTTTTTAATCTGGGGTGATTACATCGAGACTTTTCAGCCCAAGCTGATGAAATCTCAGCCCGGGCTGAAACGATCACAAAATAGAGTTATTTCGCATTTTTTGAAGAAGTTTATAATGTTCTTTAAGTCAATACTATTTGAATTGTGCGAGACTGTGATTGCATTTAAAAATTTAATTATTTTAAAGCCAAAGTATTCTCCATCTTGAAACGTCATTGTTGCTATAGCAACGTCAGTGGCGTTTGTGAAAAATTTCAAACTTTCTAGATGTTGTTTTACACAGGTAAACCGCTTTTTGTTTTTAACAAGTAATACAAAAATACGAATCTAACTGATCGCAAAATTTCCATATTTAGAAAATTGTATCGAGCCACCTTATTAATTAAATGATAAAATATTACTGAGTTATCTGTATATAAGCTGTTAAAGATTAAGCTACGTGTACAAAGATTAAGACTGACGAATTTTTCCTGGGCTCAAATACCGAACGTGTTACTTTGTCCATGAAATATACAATTACGCAAACTAAAGTTTCCAATTTACCCAATTTTTGAATAGAATTTTACTTCACTAAAAAAATGAGTAAGTGCTGAACATTTTCAGTCACAGTGGGTACCGTATGTTACTCAAGTTTTTGAGTAAAATATTTTTGCAGTGCCATGACTTTTGTTCAAGGGATTTTGTTGAGAGATTTTCCTCGAATTCGGCCAAAAGAATCATTGATATTAGGAAAGAGGTTTTGAAATCGGACGTCACTGCTTGTACCTAAGGTGAGTAAAAATTTTGAACGTTCGGTGCTATATAGTGTGTAGCTTTCTTAAAATATTTTTATTTTTCAGATAATGCATCATCTCCTCAAGTTCTATGGTGAGTTGGTCTGCTTTTATTCAGTTATATGGTATGGTAAAAAAGCTGTCAAAGGTTAGAGATTTGAGCTTAGCGTGGAATTTTCCCTGGTCTTTAACAAATAAGGGGAACCCGAAAAAAATAATTACTTTTGCCTTTGTTGATGATTTACGCAATTACGCACAGTTTTTAATCCAAATAGAAGCAATAAAAACTTGTTGCTAGCGATTAAATTACATTTACGACCGGTATATTCATATTTAAATCATGCAGCAATAAGAGTCATTAAACTGCATTAACTACATGAAGCGTCCCTGATTTAGAGCATTGTTTGTCCGGCCACCGTGTGTTAAACAGCTCCGGATTTTAGACTTCAGAAATAAATTTGAAGATGAAGTGTCTGTTGATTGTCGGGGTAAGTAGGTGTCCACTATACATTTTGCAATTGCAAAACGGTATAGTTTAATGATATATAATATACCATGCTCTGTAGGTTTTAATAAAAATAGGTTTTTTTAAAAACCTGCAAACTGTATAAACTAGACAAAAACTAAAATTTATCAAAGTAATTTTGAAAGGTACGCCAAAACGACTTAGGTTTTTGAACGATTTTCATCCCAAATACCATGCAGACGTAGATAAAAATCTCTCTTCATTCTCCACCATGTAAGCATCCAAAGATTTAAGTCCTATATCTGTTATTACGTTACTCTAGGTTTGTGCTCTTTTTTTGCGGTAAACGCCAAAAATATCTTCAGCGACCTCGACGATGAGGAGGGTGAGTTACTGCATTGATTTTATGCTCATATATTAGTATATATATATATTAGCTTTACATATATAAATATATATATATATATATATATATATATATATATATATATATATATATATATATATATATATATATATATATATATATATATATAAATATATATATATATATATATATATATATATATATATATATATATATATATATATAGTACAATCTGCAGACATGCATGTTTCGGCGTTCAACGCCTCGTCAGTGCAGCTTGGTACACGTCCAGATACGTGAGACACTCGTATTTATACCCCATGAACTTGCTCTCACCAAGGCATGTGGTACAACACGGTGACTCAACGCATTCAGACATGCGCAGAGCGTAATGGGGCCAGAGTGCTCAAACGACCACAAGGGAAGTGAGCTTTGCATTATCGCTAATAGACACCCATTAACAACTCCGCAGAGTGCTCAACAACACCGAAGTGAAGGAGCGTAATAGTACAATCTGCAGACATGCATGTTTCGGCGTTCAACGCCTCGTCAGTGCAGTTTGGTACACGTCTAGATATGTGAGACACTCGTATTTATACCCCATGAACTTGCTCTCACCAAGGCATGTGGTACAACACGGTGACTCAACGCACCCAGACATGCGCAGAGCGCAATGGGGCCAGAGTGCTCAAACGACCACAAGGGAAGTGAGCTTTGCATTATCGCTAATAGACACCCATTACAACTCCGCAGAGTGCTCAACAA